CTTGTAACGTCAATGTTGACAAGAAAAAAACGATTCACTGTGGATGCACTGAAACAGTTGCGAAAAAAGGCGTCAATTGTAGGTGTGGGATGGAGGAGTGACCACCTAAAAATAGAATCGCTGAGGTTTAAAATAGAATTTTTGTAATTGTGTCTTTCTAAGTAAACAGGTAAACATATTCGCAAACAATAAGGTGCACGTCGATAGAACGGTGTGTGGTGTACAGTACAGTCGCGACCAGATTCACGACATGCTCGTCTTCGGAGTGTTAAAGAGAGCTCCGATGCACGATGGAGGCCCTTCAAAAAAGAAAAAAAAAAGAATCTGATTTCTTTTTGATAATTCCAGTTTTCGTTGTGTTCTTCAGTGGTTCACAACTGACTAAAATGAGCTCATTTCGTACTGTGTGTGTTACATGTTACTCCAACGGAATTTGCTTGAGCAGTTCTTCATATTTGGCCTCAGTACTTCACCACATAAATTTCACAGAATATTCTATTTCTAGAAGTTCGTTAAATATAAATCCTATTTCAATATCTGTCATCTGTTTTTTTTTTTTTTATCTGTTGTTCACTGACTTTTACTGTTTTAAATAAATTCAAAACGTAATATGTATTGTATATATCTTAGGATGAAAGTGATACTATATGTATGAAAAAAAAAAAAGTGAAGACGATTCATCATTTAAGTGCTTGGAATATAATTCTTTACTTAAACTGTATAATTTAGGCTTTTCTACTCCTTACTTTTTTTTTTCTAAAAGCTCGTTTAACACCTATCTTTTTGGAAATTTTTCGGTTTGATTCCTCCGTTTGCGCATCACATGTTCGGAAATCATTTTAGCGATATCACTGTTTAACGAAACTATAAATGTTGCTTTCAGTGTTAGTGTAACATTTCATCCTGAAATATATTTTTAATTTGTGTAAATTTTCGACACTTTCTCAAGATTTTTCAAAGTTTTTTTAATTGTAGTAGCATTAATGCAAAACTGTTAATGCTTTCTTCCTTTCAATATTGCCTTTAGATAAATCTAAATACTGTTAGCATTTCTCTTACTGTCATTGTAAATAAACAGAACTGTTAGACTTTTACGAACAACAATGCTCGGTTTTCATTGCTTAAGTTGAGTCTCAACTTAGAAGTTTAATCAATTCTTTTCCTCAACCTTATTTAAGATCTTTTATTAGAAGTCGCTTACCTTAAAGTCGGCAAACCTTTGTGATTTTATAATGCTAAAATACTGCCCAACATTTTTTTTGCCATGACACTGATTAATTTGTCTATACAATTGCAGAAAAGGAAAAAAAAAGTGAAAATTAAGACCTAAAAACATTAAAGGTGATAATTACTACAATTGCTATAATTTTTTCTATAAAAAAAATAAAATCTTCCAAGTTTTCATTCCCTTTTTGAAATGTCTTTTGCAATCAAACTTTAGCTGTGATTTCATTGCCAAATTGTCCTAAAAACAGTGTAGACTTGAATTCTTTCGTGCGACAGTAGTTTTTAATTTGTTCTTTTTTTACCCGACAAAAACTGGTCTAGATTCTTAAAATATGATCTCAGCTAAATTTTAGTGATTTCAGCGATCTAAAATCATTTTTCATCGGTGACTGAAAACACCGAAATTATGGATCTCACAGAAGCCGTCTGTGGCGTTTGTTTCGATGTATTTGTTAAGGTCGGTTACAGACTTGTCACTTCCATTTATATATCATTATGCTTAATTTTTTTTAATTTTATGCTGAAATGATACTTTTTCTTTATTAAAGTTTGTAAATATATGTTTGCATAAAAATCGTTTTTTCTCCTGATATAAAAAGCTAATCTCTTTATATGTTGACAAATTACCATATTAAATATCAGTACAAATTTGCTTTAAAAAAATCCTCTATCTGACCACTGCCAACTAAATTGCCTCGCTGCTGTGCACCTCTGCACTCCTAATTTAAGGACAATTTTTATACTCTGATGAAAAACTGTAATAACTCCTAATTTCGGAGGTTTAGCAAAATAGCAGAAAAATTAAGCTTTTTTTTTTTGCTAAATTTTGTTACCCAATAAAGAACAAATATATCCAATTATTTTTCTACCAAAAAAAAAAATTATTCTAAAATATAACTGAGAGAAAAATAATGGGCAGTCGTACTGTCTCCAGTAATCTATCCATCTAATTATTTTAGCCGATGATTCTTAGATGTGGCCACTCATTTTGTGAATTATGTGCCGAAGAGTCAATTAATTTTAACGATAAATGCCCATTATGCAGAAAAAAATCTGTTGGTATATGTATATATAATCGTTCACTAGATGACTGCATTCGAACATGGATCCAGAAACAAACACCTGATGTTCAAGATGCTTATGAGAAAAGAATTTTAGACAATCACAGTTGGTTCTTATATATTTCGTAACTTTATAAACTGTTAAGTACTCTGAATCTGATTAGTGCCTCAGAGTCTTGCTGGTCCTATATAATTCAGCACATCGGTCCTATTACTACTTATCTGCTAAACTTTATAGATTTCGCACTGTAAATTATTGCTATGAAAGACAAAAGTGTATGCTGGTCCACTAAGTGAAACTATCAAAAAAAATTTTTTAATATTGTTAAATCTTATTATCCTACCAATCTTTAATTGAATTGTAGGAGTTTTTATAAACTTTTTTGTTCTTACAGGGATTTTGACCTTGAAAAAAAATGCCCGATTAATACTGTGGACAGTGATATCGCACTCCAAAAACAACAACGTTAGCCTGGATGACGTTCAAACTCTTTATAACGTTTGTATTTGATTCCAAAAATTGCAAAAAATAAACTTTTTTCCTCTAAAGTTTTTCAAGCCTATGCAAGGTAATTATTTTGCGGAAAATCGGGAATAAGATTCCAGGAAGTTCAACGCAACCTTCACAAAGAAGAGGTTGAGTTTGACGAAGATCTGAAAGAACAAATTCGACGAGAGGCCCTCCTGCATGAAGGCTACTTTTTCATGTTACATCAGGACGATTACTGCAATAGTAAGTTACCTCTCAGCGGTTCCTGACCGTGATTGATAAGGAAGCTTATGAAAATTATCGTTTGGGAAAACGCTTACATTTATTCAATGTAATCATTATTCTTTTACATAAAACTTTTTCCTCTACAAACTAAAAGTTTCATCACTTTTGAAACTTATTTTATTTAAATACAAAGAAAAGATCTATCGTTTGGAAAGGTATAAAGACTTTGAAAATTTTCTGTTTTCGCAAAAAGAACATTTAAATTTGAATCATTATATTCTTTACAGAGAAGAAATTTTGCAACTTAAAAAGCTTTAAATCCTTTAAAATATCTACGGTCCATTTACAGAATTTAGCGCATTCGGAAATGAACTAGAGGCCATGTCAAAAATACAAAAGTTGTACTTTATAGTTAGAACTATCCTAAAACTGGAGAATGAAAATGGGAGTCAAAAGTTAATGAATTTCAATTCAGTCATTTAAAAATTACTTTTTTTAGCATTTCGGGTACGCCTGCTAAACTCGCCAATGCCTATATGAAGAAGATGAAACCTAGTTATGTGAATAGAATAGGGTTGTCATAACGAGAAACCAGCTAACCTTCCCCGACCCTTCAAAGTTAGAAATGAAAATCAAAAAACGCGATAAAAAGCAACAGCATCTGAAGGTAGAGGAGAAAGCCGATGGTTAACAAAGAATGCGAATATTTTATAGACCGGTACCAACAAGAATTGTGCAATGAAGAAGTTCAGTGGTAGATCAACAATGATTGTTCAGTTGTTTACAGTATGTCTATGTAATACGCTGCACCAATTTCCACACATGCGGTTTTGTGCAGTAGATTGACGTATTTACTGTGATAAAGAAACGGGGATGACCAGAAAAAGACAAGAAAAGAGCTAAGAGATAGATAAGATTAAAAGCTTTTTTTTGTAAAAGAGAAGGAAAGTTTTAAATTTGAGCAAATTTAAACGCATTTATGGAAGATTACTGCAGATGAACGTGATATCTCGAAGCGTTTAAAAACTATAAGTTATCGATACTACTTACAAATTTCGCCGTTAGTTTTCTTTTTCTTCAGGATGATGAGTGCCAAAACGAGAATTTTTTTAAAAAAATGCACAAAAAGAAATTTATTCACGATATAACAAGACAGAATGACTAAAAATGCCTTTCACGGTATGAGAAAACAGATTAAGGAAGGGGAGTGGAAGGTGAGAAGCAACCCAAATATAGAAAATAAGAGTGAATATCTTAGTTGCACGTTTAGTGTTTTGTATTATAACTGAAATAAAAAAGCCGTCAGTGTGAAAAGAAATGAAAAATAAATATTATTTAAACCTATATGACTTTAATAATACTACCATCAAAGAAAATTCTATGCAACCCACGCTCGCCTTATAGGGTTCAACCCGTATCAGCAGTTTTTTCATTTAGACGTCGCCACAAAACTATCCAAGTTGTTTTACCACCAATGTATTATTTACTAAAATAAGGTTCTCCAATTTTATCCAAAAGTGAATTGAATGTACCATGCTGTTGCAACAGTGTGTACAATAATAGTTATTCCCACTGTATCTGTTGTATAAAAAAAAAAAACTCAGTTTAGAAATTAAGACCTCAAGAAAATGTCGCTTACTTACCAAACGTTCTTATATCCTCCATCAAGATTGTATGACTATTTGGAGTCCCACGGTAATTGCCAGTTCCTTCAATGGCTTTAAAAAAGGTCCTAAAGACAAGCGTAAAATAATTACCTCGCTGCTTTTTAAAGTTATTATTGGTAATATTACAGCAACAACTAATCTCTTCTGATGATATGGCTTCATAGTAAAAAATGCTCTTTCAAGGACTTTGTAAAGGTATTAAATCACTGGCTGAAATAGTAATCCGTGTAAAAGCTAGCCAGTTTAAAGTTCTACTAGATTTTTTACAGTTTACAATTTCCAATTTCCATCGACGATTTGATGTTTTATAAAGTAGAAAAAAAGTGAAATAACATTAAAGTTTAAAAATAAAGTCATTTGAAAGCTACTGTCTGATACCTGCCATCCAAATTTTCTTTAAAAACATCTACGTTCCGGAAGAGGGATACTCTTAAAAAGAGCCACCAACGAATTATCAGTTCATTGACTATTCCAAGTGTGCAAATAGATGTATGCAGACTGTGGGTGCAAATGGATGCCACGGATATCAAGCGACGAGGATTGCTTATTTAGTGGTAATTGTTTATCCATTGCAGTAATTTAGCTTCATTAATCCGGTCCGTTTTATGAGTACTTCAGAAGATCTTCTGGAAGTTAGAACATAAGCTGGCAGATGTAGTTCATTAGTTTTCAGTAACTGTAATACACTACATATCCGTCATAGACTCCTCCGCGCTATTATGCTGTAATTCTTTAACTTTTAAACAGAACAATTTTTTAAATTTGGGCAAAGAGCCCAACATTCGTATATTGTTGATGACGAATTGATTGAGAGATGCATTTTTAAAACTCTTTTAAGACAGAATTGATGGGTGTTTTTGGCTGTTGTACAGTGATTGCAGTGATTGCTTTAATGCGTTTTGTTCGTTTTCTGCTCTGTCCGGCATGGAATCTATGCTTCTGAGCGCGCGTATTTTCTGTTTGACTATGCACTCTTACATGGTAGTTTTCAATCTTTTCTTGATTTTTTTTTTCATCTGCAATCTGCTGAGCTACATGCACACAAAAGGAAAACATTTAGTAATTGATGATTAAGCATTGTATTATGCCTGTTATTCGCAGGAATCTTATTTCTTGTAAGTAATTGTTCCATCTTTTCCGTTTTTTCTTGACATGCATAATGATCGGATTTGAGTAGTTGTAAACATCTTATTCAGTCTGTTTTATAAGATATAACCTGCCTTGTTTAAGTGCGATCGTGCATTGTTCTATGCTTGGTATATTGCTCCTTCTACTGTTACTATTGTGTAGCATTTGAGTGGTTGTTTTGTTTGAAAACAATTTTCCTAAATTGTCTTAAATACTTATTTGCCATTTTTGCTTGTTTTCTTTAACTTCTCTGCATAATTATCTAATTCTAAAAGTCACCGCAAAACAAGTTGTTTTAAGTTTGTAACTTGAACTCTGTAACGCTGAACCATTGCTGTTACGTATAAGATAGCTCCAAATATCATAATTGAAAAGTTTTTATAGTTCTTCTGTTATTTTGACAGAAAAAGAATTTTATAACATTGTGTTGTGGCATAACTTACTATAGCAGTAATTTTATAGCACGACTGTAACACTGTATCTATAGTTGTTTTGAATATCTGTTTCATCTTCCTCAGCTTTACCAAATTGGGCTTAAAAAGAGGTTTTCTTGCTGTTTTTTATTATTTTTTTGCTTTTAATATGAGAAATCGGCCCATATTCCGAAACTGCTCTTTGCAAAGAAGGGTTGCTTTTTTTTGTACGACTGAAAATAGCAAAATTTACTTTCTAATTTTTTACATTCCTCAGAAACTAGTTGTTATTGGGGTTCAAAAAATGATACATTGTGATTCAGACACTAGTGACTCACTGTCTCATTCTTCCTTTTTTTCTCCTATTGTATGGCTTGTGACTGTTGGAGTGCAAAAAGTAGCGGGACTTTATATTTTTTTTGTCTAATGTTTGGTCTTCAGGTGGAGTTTTAATCCAGGTTAGAGCTGTTAAAAAAAATGGCCTCTCGAAAAACTCGTGCGCGTCCTCGAGCACAACGGGCTACAAGCAATGTCTTTGCAATGTTTGATCAAGCCCAAATCCAGGTAAAGACTGCAAATGTATCCTGTTATTGCATTCTGCTTCAGCACTTTTACTTCTGGGCTGATGAACAGTAGTTTAGGAGTTCAAAGAAGCGTTTAATATGATTGATCAAAATCGGGATGGTTTTATTGACAGTCAGGATTTACAAGATATGTACGCATCTTTAGGTAATTTGATACTTCGCAGCTCTTAACTGTTTTGCGTTAATGATCTTTGTTTGAAATACTTACTTTTACTTTGTCGCGTTATGTCTTGAAATTTCTAGGTAAAGAAATGAAGGAGAATGATATCGAGAAAATGATTGGTGAGGCACCTGGTCCCATTAATTTTACCATGTTTTTGACTCTGTTTGGTGAAAAACTAACTGGAACAGATCCCGAGGAGGTCAGTTATACTCTTTTTAATCGTTTATAAAAGCCAATTGATTAATTGGATGTATAGAGGCAATATCTTCACTCTATAACTTTAAGTATGCTTTTATGCCATGTTCACTTCACCTTTATTTCGTAATGTTTAGGAGCGGTTAGCTAGGTGGGCAGGAATTTATTTGTGAATAACCTGCTCTCGAGCACTAAATTAGTGTTTTTTAGGTCATAAAGAATGCGTTTCAATGTTTTGATGAGGACAATAGCGGCACTTTGAATGAGGATCGTTTGAGAGAGTTACTAACTACTATGGGCGATCGTTATACCGATGAACAAGTTAGTTTACACTCAGTGATAACCACTCTTTTCTCAATTATTGGTTAACGTTCGCTATCACCGGTTTAATCATTTTTGGGTTGTTAGAAGGACTGTATGCTTACGTTGACGAGTCTTTTCCCGCTTTTTCATTCATCCTTCACTATTTACTCTTCCTCTGAAGATTTTTTTCCAGGTCGATGAACTCTTCCGCGATGCTCCTATTAAAAATGGTCAGTTTGATTATGTAGAATTTACGCGGATGCTGAAACATGGCACGAAAGATAAAGACGAAGCCAGTTGAAAAGGACGCGTTTCTGCTAAGTTTTTTTGTGTATTTTAAGGCTTGCCTACAAGATTGCTGTCTTATTTGATTGTGATATAAACTGCTTTTTCGACCCAAGGGCTGATGAAAAGGAACCACAGAAAACGTTATGCGATGCTTAATATGAAGGTTCTTTTCACTTTAGCCGTGAATCCCTATACTTTTTGCCGTCAAAATTCTCGAACAGTTATTTTGCTTTTTTTCCGATAACATTTTTCGTGCAATATATATATGCCGGCGTTTTCACTTTTGCTTTTCTATGTTGCCTTAAGTAACGTTCTAGTAATAAAACTGTCATTCTATAGTACTGTGAACTGAGAAGACGAAAGGAAAAAAATGTTCACATTTTTCTTTTGTTTCTTCTTACGGTTTGACAGCGGGGTTAAACAAGACCAATAAGAAATATCGTTACTTTTATTGCAGTTTATTCATCAGAATTTCCTCAGGTATTTATGATTTTTAATGTGACTGTTGCGTTGTGTTTTGGCCGAAGCATCTTTTTTTTTTTTCAGTTTAGGGTACGCAGAAAGAAAAAATGTTAAAAGAATTATAAAGTTCTGGGAAATGAGTAGTGTTACTGCCTGCTTGTCACTTCCAGTTGATTGGAGGAGCTAGGTGCTTGTAAAAGGTTGTCGAGAGTGATGGTAGGGAGGTGATTATTATAAGTGCCGAGCAGTGTTATAATTCTATAGACTTAGCCGCCTGGTTGACCAAATTGTTCTACGATCTCGTTTAGGCTTGTGTATGTCCCTGAAATTTGAAAAAACAAAAAATAATAACGAGGTGGAGGTAAGATGACCAGTGAAAGTCAGTTTAGAAGGAAACGAGGACACTACCTGTTATAATTCCAATGCAAGCGAACAATAACAGAAAAGTGTCTTTTATCCACAAATTCCAAGTTAGTTTGGCTTTTGCATAGTTGCAAAGAATGTCTATGATTGGTGGAAAGATAAGAGCCAGTGCGGTGGATGCAAAGGCGCCGATTAGGGATATGAACAAGGCCAGGTGTGGTATAAGCTCTGCTAGTAAACCTTAACTATTTTTTTATCAGGACCAGTCTTAACAGTATAACTTCAAAACTAGTAGCAATATTTTTTCTTTTCTGTTTTAGAAAAAGGAAGTGTCTTAGGACTTACACGTTAAAATAACAAAGCCGAAGCGAGCAAGGTAAACAGATTGTTCTTGAATATCCTTTCGAACTTTTCTGCTAATCCATTTTTCCACACGTTCCATGGGAACATAAAATTGTAACGGATATGAAACGAGTATGCATGACACAAACATAACTTTAATGAACTGGTAGAACCTGGAAAGCAGTAGAACTCAGTGTTTTCCTATTTGTTATTAGTAAAGTATACCGTTGACAAGACTAACAATACTTCAGTTAATCTCTCGCTGGTTGATAGATGGCATTTTTATCAGGAAATGAACTAACATTGTTTTCGGAAGATTTAAAGTGACTGTATCTTTAACGTCGTCACCGATTTTCAAAAAGCCAAAGAAGCCCACAACACAGTACAGGTCCATAACTAAGTAACAGCCAGCATTTAGTACTCCACACGGCGATATAAAATGATATGGATCTCTCATTTGGTTTTCTATTGGCAGTACCTGCAGACGAATTTAAAGACATTCTCACAACAGTCGACAGTCAGTGTTTTTATTGGACTTAATGGAGGCTTTAAATGAGTCACTGAAACTTGAGAATCAAGTTTGTTTATAATGTAAAACGAATGTAGATATAATCGACTAACAACCGCAACTCCTTCAAAGGCAAAAATCACTGTCCCAAAAAACAGTGGTAATTTATTCCAGTTTCGTGGAAATGCAGGTAACGAAGCGAAGGGTTTTGGTTCCGTGAATAAATAACATAAAACTATAGTGAGCGCAGCAAAGTATATAAAATTAGCACAAAGAGCAATTGGGGCCAACGATTTGAGCCTACGGACGCTACAAAGGCATAAGATCGGAACACAGAGAAGTGCAATCCAGGTAGACTGTTGCATGTGGACTGTAGAAGTCTCATCAAAGAACTGAAACTCAGGATTCATCGATTGAACTTTTACAGCCAATTTTATTCAGAAACTGTTAGAATGACAATAATTGGTCAGTGAAAGTTTCTGGTTAAAATCTGATTTAAGTCTTACAACTGCAACATGTTTTCCAAACTGTTCCTAAATTATAAGTTTTAACCCAGGACAGGAACAACCGTGTAGTTTACCTGTTTCAGATTATCAGCCATAAACACAAAATACACACAACAGAATCCAAGTTGAGCTACGAACATCGTCGCATTGACAGTTTGTCTAAAAACGCCAGAGTTGGGTTGTTAGAGAAATCTCAGGATAGGTTTCAAAAGAGTCGCAGTTTACTTTTTTTCAGTAACTTTTGAATTTCCATTTAAGTAAAAACCTAACTTTGCGAAATATCCTCGATAGCTCATCCAAGAAGGGCCAAATTCCACTGCTTTCCTCATAACATTTGCATAATCAATCCTCGAACGACCAGTTCTGCGGCACACGTATCGGGCCGCTGTCACCAGCTGACGAGTACAGTACAAGCATAGTAGGCATATCAGTGGAAGAAGTATAAGTCCCATCCAAAAAAATACATTTTTAGAATTACTAAAACAGTTTTTATTGGACAGTAATGATTTAAAACTCTATCCAAATGATCGTTAGCAAAAGTTTACCACTAAACCTGAATATTTGAATGCTAAAGGTAGACTGAGCATTCCAGTGCCAAGCATAACCTTTAGGAAATGTATTAATGCTTGTTCCGGTGATATGGCTTCCGGAGAATCCTCACGAACTTCAAAGTCTCGAATTCTGAATCGGTTAAGTAAAGATGACAATAATCAGGCAAAACTGCTAACGGAGGTGAGAGTATTAGAAATTTTTTTATTGGGAAGTGGTGGGGGAAGACACAGAGTTTCAGAACAGAAACTTTAACCTTTCGTCGTCATCATCATCATCATTATCAGCATGAAGAAGCGCAACTCTTTCATTTCTCCTTTCTGCGTTTGTCATATCCTAAAATAGAAATGCGCATAAAGTCTGCGAGCAGTACCTCCTTTGTAAAACCAAATCAGATGGTATTCCTGGTTTTAATGGCTAATTAAGACGGAAAAAGTTTTTTTATTTGTATTATCGAAAACGAAGCTTTCAGAATCTTTAATATTTTTGAAAAAAATAAATAAAAAAGGGATGTATAAGTGCAGTAAACGAAATGAACTAGGGACAGCAGAATCCATACGGATTGTGTTTCAGCAGCAGCAGCAGCAGCAATGACGATAAGAAGTTTTGCTTAGTCAGCTGTTTTGGGAAAAAATTTTCATCTAGGCTACCTGCCATCAAACAGTCATCAGTTTCGGACGATAACCTTTTAAAGACAGAACTGTCATTATTGACTACATTACTGCAAAAAAAAAAAAAAAAAAAAAAA